TGTTTCCTAACACTAATCAGCCCACCTGAAGGAAAAAATAAAAAAGACTGCTAATAGTCATTTAAGATAAAAGTTTCTGCCTACTGTGCACTGGCCAATAAGGGTCATTTATGTCTCAATATTTGGTCGAGATATTATGAAATTAAGTGTCTATAAAACCCTCAGTATATTGTTAAATGAATTATATATGATAAAGCATATTCAAACACAAGCATGTATTTTTATGGTCAGTTTTATAAGAGAGAAATTTTCCTGAACCTTTGACCAAAGTAGAAGACTTGAACTAAATCCACGTTTCTGCTGCATTCAGCAGAATTAAAACTGAAGCAACCAATGCTTGACCTTACTGCTCTTTCATCTGGCTAGCACCCCTGGCTAGCTAAGGAGATGTTTTCTCTGAAGTCAAGTTAGATGTGAAAGACCTGCAAGTCAGGAAGGCATCTTATCACAAGTACATTTGCATGGAATGGTCTAAAGCAATATTCCTTTCAAGATAGGAGAAAGAAATAATGCCTCAGGAAAAAGAATCTTGGGCACCACCATCTAACCCACCCCACCCCACCCCACGCCTGCCTACACAAGGGCAAGAGCTGTGCTTGAGTCAATGATCTCTAAGGTCAACTCTGAGTCTGAAAGGACTTGACCATGTGTGAGCAGCAATCGACAGACGGCGTGAAGAGGCAGCAGTTTGGACACCAAGCCCTGGTACCAGGCGTCCCCAAGAAACGTGTTATATCAGACCAGACGGTTTTTACAACCTGTTGAAGATGGAATGCATTGTAAGCCACTGTGACCATGAATGTAAATCTCTGGGCCTGAATGGACTCCTGCAATTAACTCCTATAACTAATCTTTGCAGCCTACTGCTTGTGTCCAGCAGGAGCTAATGCCCTGCTTCATGTAACACCCGTGTGCTACCCCAACTGAATACCAGCCAATCAATAACGTTATAATTTCATGCTTTTGCCCTTGTTACGTACTAAATTTGGGTTGATGCACTAAATTTACATGTGTGAGTTAGTGATAATCCCCATTCAAATAATTTCTGTTCATTAATAAATTCTGTTTAAAATTTATTTTTAAAGTTTTAGAGTTTTTCTTATCAATAGTTTAAAAACATACAGCATTACTAATAGTTCTGTCCTTAGTAAAGAAAACTTATTCTTAGAAAAATTTAAATATTTTTTCTTTCTGTCTTTATCAGCTAACTTACTGAACATTTACATTAAAATTACTCTCTGATAAATACACACTTGATTTCTAGTCAATGCCACTGTGTTATGATGTATCATGCTCAACCTCCTCCAAACATGTATGCTAAAGGAATCTCTGCAATACACCATCAGTTTCATCCTCCCTTAAACAAGACTGGGCATGAAATAAGGCTGTTCTGCTACATGAGATGACAGGACAGAGTGCTGTTGTTTGTTGTTGGGGCAGCAAGACAGTCTCGACTCCTAACAGCCCCACACAGAACAGGACATGCTGCCCGGTCCAAGCTCCATCCCCACAATCACTGCGATGTCTGAGCACTGCTGCTGCCGGTGTGCCCATTCAGCTCTTTGAGGGCCCTTTTTTTCACTGCTGCTTTGTCAAGTAGAAAACAATGGTGGTGGCTGGTCCAACAATTCCAGCTGCTCAAAGCAAGGGCAAAACTGGGACAGGAATTCCACTTCTGTGCAGTTTAGCCTGAAATGAGCAAATCTAACACAATCCCACAGCTAGTGCTAAAAATTCAACAACTAGGGTCTACGTAAAAGTCAGAAGCATGAAGGTTCATGAAAGGGAGGCGGGTCAACACAAGGTGACTCTGCGGGTGTTGCTTAAACACAGGTATAGTGGGAGTTCATAATAAGCCATGAAACATTTCTTCCTTACCTCTTCTACATTTGTACTGGATTTTGCGCTTGTCTCCAGGAATTTGATCCCATAGTCAATTGCTAGCTGAAAGGCAAAACAGAAAAAGCAAAACTCACTGAGAGCTGCTGGGACAAATTTCTAGGTCTCGGGTTTTTCGCGTTTCAGAGCCCCTAGGAGAGCAGAGAGTTTGGAACTCCCGGGTTTTGTACACGTCTTTGCTTCCTTCTATTCTGCTTGAAATTTAATCATAAAACTTATTTCTCATAAGCGAAAAGATGCACAATGTCTACTTGAAATAGTTCTTTTGTGTTGTACTTTTAGCTCGCTAATATGCTTACGAGAAAGATTATGAGTCACTCTCTTATCATTAACTCCAGATTCATTGACCAGTTTTATCCGCTCCCAAAGTACAATTCTCTAACCATTTGTACACCAGTTTTACTATTTAAAAAAAGGTACATAAAAGAAGTGAGCGTTTAAAAAAGTAAAGCATTCATTGCTTTGATTTCTACTGATGAAGACAAAGGGTGAATTTTTCCAGATTTTTAGTGAATTGCAGAGTTCATTGACAACAGTTAAGTGGATGTTTCTTTAAAGGAAAAAGAAACTTGCCAGGAAGAATGAAAATCAAAATGTATTTTGTACATAATCACTCAAAAAATCACAGCGAAATTCCAAGACTTAAAATGCCAGGGAGCCTCTAAGCCAATGAAGACAACGTCATGACCAGAGAGCCGGAGAAGCTCTGCTGCCCTCCAGGCACCAGTCCCGAGGCCTGTCTGTCTGCACGTGGCCTGTCACGGCACCCGCGGCTTGATGGACTGCCACCAGGCCACCCACTGTGGTGACCCACAACTCCTGTGCGCCGAGCATGCTTCCCTCAAACAATGACCTGGAAAACGATCACTGTTGAAGCATCACCTACCCAATTGCTTTTTTCACAGACAGTGAATTATTTTAACTTCAAAACTGGGCCTTTTCACACAGACACGAAAAGGAATCGCGTGAACACTACGCTGCAGGAATTGTGTCCCGGAGACCAGGAGCAAATTCTTTAAGAGTGAGTCGTGACCACACAGTATTGGGAGTTGGACTGGAATACTAATTTACACCATTCAAAGATGGGCTACATCTCTTTGTTGTCAATGCTAAGGGATTAATATAGATTTTTTTTTGAAAGTCAACCAACAAGTAAACAATATTACGGAAATCAACGCTTAACCTGACAAGATTTTAACCTTCATGTATGCAGCTCAAATTTACCTTCTCGCCTCTTTCTTTTGATACTTGTCTTTTGTCATTCATATCACACTTGTTACCCAGGATCATTCTTTCAACGTCTGAAGAGGCATGCTGCAGGAGAAAATAGTTCATTATAAAGAGAGCCTGAGAAAAATCACGGTTAGCTAAGACGAATACGAACCAGTCAGAAACCCACCCATACATTTAATATGACATAATCTTTCAGTCAACACAAGGCTGGATTCGGAGGAAAGTTTAGATGATGTGAGGAGCGGGGAGACTCCCAGTAACAGCCTTCCTGGAGCCTGTGCAAATCATTTTTAAAAGGCCATGGACGTGTCTCCGTTTGCACGTGAACAGAAATAAATGCGTGGTTCTGTAACCGCAACACATTACGAACATATGTTAAGGTCGTAGAAGGAAAACAAACTCGGGTCCCCAAGGACCCAGCGGAACGCGTATTCTGGATTCTCAACTACACAAGACATCAATTCAGATGGGCTGCTACAGATGTGTACAAAATTGTTTCAGGGTCACATTTCTTTCTGAAATGGCAAAGACACAGAAAAATCTTAATGTCCGCCAATCTGGAATTAAACCTCCTTCACAGATTGAGCTTTCAAACAGCTAAGACGGAGAAATGGTTAACGCAGCAAAATGTTCGATTCGATTGCAGGCTAACAGTGACATGTTTGCCACAGGCAAACAGCACGACGGCCAGGAGCATCTGGGAATCTGAAATTTCATGCACATTTGAGAGCCGTGTGGAGTACATGCAAGTTACTGCTCTCTGGCTTCAAGCTGCCTCGTGCGTGAAACGGGCTTGGGCTAAATGATTTCAAAACACTGCTGTGAAGTTGAAAATGCTGTGCGTTCTCCCCCTGGCTGCCCCAGTCTTCCCCATCTGCACATAAGCAGAGGAGTCTGGCAGGCAGCACAGGCAAGCACCCGCCCCGGGGCTCCCCGAGCTGCCCAGGCCCCATTCCGTGGTCTCCGCATCCTGTCCCATACATTTGCATGTGCCCTTTGAAGCAAAGATGGTGAGACTGTCATGGACTGGGACCCGTGGCCAGGGTGGACCAGTACTGGAAAAAGGATCCCCTGCTTGGTAGAGGGCAGTGAGAACGAGAAAGAGCTTCAATGAGAGGGCCTGACACGGGACGCTTCAATAGGAAGGCTGCAACAATGGGCTCGCACACAAGGCCGTGCTTCCTGTAACGCATGGACTGGCTATGAGTTGGAACGGACTGGGGCACCCAACCACCGCACCATATTACACACGCATACCTCTTCGATGTTTCTTATCCAGTTCTTGATATTGTCGAAGGACTTCTCGTTCGTGATGTCATACACCAGCATGATTCCCTGTGAGAGCAAACACATTCTCAGGGTTTCCTGTTTGCAGCCGTAGAATTCCTCCCGCCAGACACCTTTCATTAATTTGTCCTTTTCCCCCCTTTTTATAAAAGGCATTGGAAAAACACAGAGAATTAAATAAATAAATGCTTCCACTATTTAGCCATATAAATAATAAATAAGTAAGCACTGTGAACATTTTCACTGTTAAATTTTAATGAATTCGTGATTATGGTGCAGGTGATACTCCCTGAGCTCACAAGATAAGCGTCAGCACCCACTGGCTTGGAAAGTGTGTAAGTTAAGACAGAGATAGCACGGAGAGCAAGAAGTACCCCTGTTTCAGCCACACACACACACACACACACACACACACACACACACACACACGGTCTCCCGCCTACTCCAGGAAGATGTCTTTATATAGGCTGACCCAGAGGTCACTTGATATAAGGCTGTACAAGTCCAATGAAAGACATTGCTGGCCTACTTTTAATGACTGCACATCTGCTTTATTGTGTTGTGGTTTGTTGTCCCTTCCAAATGCTTCAGTGGACATCAGTATGCTATGCTAATGATTCCCAAATCTACATCCTTAGGCCACCCTGGAGGAGAGCTGGTGCTTCCAGTGGGTCAATGGTTTGGACGCAGCCCTTGCTCAGGGGAAGAAAGGCTGGCAACCTGCTCCTGTGAGCACTGTAGCCTCGGGCAGCGGAGGGAGCAGCCATTCTCTCGGGAGAACCCCCTAGTCTTGTCGGAACCCCCTTGGAAGCACAGAGCAACAGCTCACACTTCTACACTGAGGGCTACATCTACATCAGTCCATTCCGCAAATACTCAGTGGGCACCCACTGTGTGCCCGGTATTTCACCGTAGGTAGAGTAACGATGTTATTGAAGGGGTGGAAAGCACAGGGTGCTCCGAGTGCGTACATCAGAGTCGTGACCTAATCTGGGCTGAGGAGACTTGAAGCAAGCACCAGGGCTGAGAGTGGGCTGTGAGGGGCAGCCCACAGTGCCAGCACATAACAGATGTGCTATAAAGATCTACGGCCTGTGAAAGCCCACGGGAAAGTCTATCAGCTGAGCACGTGCGCACTGCTCCACGGAGAAGGGCACAAAACTCAACAAAAGAGAGTGAGCTGAGCTTCTTCATCTCAGACCTACTCTCACCTTGGTGACAGCCAGAAAAGCCCAGCCGGAGAGCCAGCCCTCAGAGACCCCCGAGTGCCTTCTCCCTCCACGCTCCATCAGACACTAAGTTCTACAGACCTAGCTGCGTCAGTGTTTCCAGAATCTGTATTCTGACAGGCTCTAGCTCAGTGCTTATCAAATGGTGCCCACCACTGAGAACAGATGGTCCCACGTCCCACTGGAGCAAAAAGACTCGGGCAGAATTTCCTGAAGATTCACCTAAGATTGCTTTCAGGTAAGACAAGTTTCCACTGATCTTGCATTTAGCGAACATCTACTATGTGTCGGGCACAATGGTGGACACTGGCTTTACTGCAGAACAAAAGAAAGAGACAAGAACCCCAGTCCTCAAACTGAAAAGACAACATACTCCCTAGATGAGAAGGACAACAACGTCTGGTTATTTCAGTCTTAAGTCAAAGGGGAAGACTAGACAGTAGATAGATACATGGGAAAAATAGATGCTTCTCAAAGCTAAATTAAGCAACACATTTCAAAGACCTCTTTCATCATACCACCACCAAGGGGTAGACATCTAAGGTCCACATTTGCCCCATGTCCTAGGTGTCCCGTCCCCCACCACCCCTCACTGGTGCAAGTGAACACTGCAGTGATGGCAATGCATCACTCTCAGAAAATGAAAGTGGTCAACACAAAGGCCGGGATCAGAAGTGCCTGTGAATGACCCCAACTCATCCCTGGTAAGATTTCACCTACCTACCCTCCCTCCCTCCCCCACTGCCTTCTTTGAACTTTGATTTAATTTACTTACTGAAATGAAACCCCAACAGTTGAACAATTCCTACTCTGCCGATGCAGTAACATTGGCTACAAGAGACAAGCTGGGCAGTGTTCAGTTGCTCTGCCCAGCATGCCCGTCTCCCCCTGGGATACCAAGCTAAGCAGAATAGAGAGCAGCTGGGAATTCTTAGAATGATGACGCTTCACAATCCGACACTGATTACTGAGGAGGTGTGTGGAGAACGCACCCATGTGACATGCTTAGTGGTGTTTAGTACACAGGCGACGTGGTGTTCCAAAGGGATCCCTACGCTCTTTGTGAGCATGAGTGCCTGCTGTCCAAACAACAGAGGCTACGTGACAACTGGGAGGGAGGGAGGGTAGCATGGTACTGAAGGGATCCGTGGACTCAAACCACACCGTCTTGGAGACAAAGAGCCGGTCACGGGCCCCTTCGGCTCCGTCACCTCCGACACGACACTTAGCAGCCAAAGCGTTTTTTCCCGCAATAGGTGGGTATGGTGACAGCGGGTACCCCACAAGCTAGAGGTTGGCTTCATAATCTCAACTACTTAACCTGCAAAAGTGTTCTGGGCATAATTGGAGTTCATCAAAATTCAAGACTTCGAGTTGAATTTTGAATTTACAGCTTGAGCCTAAAACCAAAGAGAAAAGCCCAGGCTTGGGCCTGCTGCTCCAGATCAGCGGTTCTCAACCTGTGGGTCGTGACCCCTTTGGGGGGGGGGGTGTCGAACGACCCTTTCACAGGGGTCGCCTAATCTACCGTGCATTATCAGATATTTACATTAGGACTCATGACAGTAGCAAAATTACAGTTATGAAGTAGCAATGAAAATAACGTTATGGTTGTGGGGTCACCACCACGTGGGTCCCGGCATGAGGAAGGCTGAGAGCCAATGCTCTAGGTTCTAAGCTGCCTTTATTTACCACGGCAATCCCAGCTCCACACCGCACCTGCCCAGAGCCAACAGGTAACATAAGTGGGGTGAGTGGATAAAACATCTTGGGGTGGAAAATCACCAAACAGTGAAGTTATGAGAGCAATGGTAAGGCCAGGGCGCAGTACCAAAGGCCTAGGTGGTCAAGATTCATCCGATTCAGAGCCTCCACATCACAGATCCCTTCTCTACCTCCTGGTTAGCTGGCAGAAAGCTGGCCAAGGAGCCCGCACAGAAGCTGTGGGTGTTATGGAGGTGGGGAGAGACAAGGGGCGGTGCTCATAGCACTGAACGGCAAGCAGGCGCAGGAAACGACACAGTGACAGGGTCTGTGGTATGCCAAGACTCGGCTTACGGTCTTAGAAAGAGGAAAAACCATAGAAGAATACAATTACCGCAGAACGTGTGAGGGCGTTCTGGACCACCACCCAGCTAGCCTTCGGTTATTGTTGGGAAGACACTGGCAAAGTATACATACACCGAGCACAAAGCATAAACATCCCTTTGCGTGTCCCGTTTCTCTTTAAATGTCCAACAGGTCGTTCTTTATTGTGGTATGTGTACCAGGAATTTACAGTACATTTCACTGGAGCTTGAATGTTACTGAAACGTGAATGCCCGATTGTGACAATGTGAAGCTAAATTACAGACTCAGTGGTGGAAATCAAAGAAATCAAAGCTGTCAGTGGTTATTGACACTTCATACCCCTTCCTGTGATTTGCATGCATGTCCCATGATCTTGGTCTCCTGTTTTCTTTATAACATTTTGTCTCAGAACAAGTAATTTCGGGTTACTTTGTTTTATTTTCTAAGCTTAAAACCAAGAACAAACCACTGCTGCTGCGTGGGTCCCACTGTACCGCGACTGTCCAGGGCAGGTGTGTCTTGCTTTCTTATCCTACCCACCCACCCCGCCCTCCCCTGACACTTGACTCCAGTTTGAGTTCTATAAGCTTTGTCAAATGCATGCTTACGTTTTCCTCTCACCTGAAGAGTTGTCAACCCCCTAAGACCACACTCACCATGGCTCCTCGATAGTACGCTGTTGTAATGGTTCGGAATCTTTCCTGGCCTGCTGTGTCCCTAGAATTTGAAACAAGAGAGAAAGTGGGGTTAACGAGTCATCCCCAACAGCACCCCGGAGGCGCGCTAGGCTGCAGGAAGGAGACAGACGCAGCATGCTGGTCTGCTGACGAGTGCAGTGGTGGGCAGCAAAGGGGAAGAAGGCACAAAGGGGGCCCAGCTGCGTGTCTGCCATCCGGAGGCGGTGGTGGCCACTGGGACCTGGCAGGGCTCTCAACGCCGGGGTGAAAGCCTTGGATCTTGATGATAAAGCTGCAACAGGAACATTCTCGCGACCTGCTAGGAACCGGGAAGCACGATTAGTGCACGCCCACGAGGAGGGCAGAGAGAAAGTTCCGAGGTTCAGAGCCCTGGAGGCAGTTAAAACCAGCTTTATACAGTGCCCAACGACGAAGGCAGTTCACTACCTCGGCGGAAAGCGTAATGTCTGCACAAAGCGAGCGACCGCACTGGCCTTAGTGCTGTGCAAATTCCGCTCAGCAGACACACACTGACATGGACCTCCCCCAGCACCTGCCCAGCTGTGGAGACCGCGATGGACGGAGACACCAGAGGTGAACGCACCACCACCCCTCCGCCGCCATGTTTCCAAAGCCCTGAAAACAAAAACCCCTCTCAAAACT